ACACACACACACACACACACACACACGCATACACACATATACAGAGAGAGAGAGAGAGAGAGAGAATGCAAATACAACACAAATACATGTATTCTACAATGCAAATTGAAAAACAGCTATTAACTAAAGTTTTGTTTAGTTTTAACTTGTGCATTTGACTTTGTTTTTTTTTTCAAATGGCAAATCACAGATAATGATTTCTACTGTGTAGTAATAGAATATGTGAATCTACCCCTAAAATGCAAACATTTCTGGAATGCTTCATTTACTATGTGTTCATTCACTGAAGATTCTTAAATACATTTATTTGGAAATAAGCTTCTAAGTGCTTTAAAATAGATGAATGAACAGCATGAGCCTATGAACATTTATCTACTTAAAGCAAGCCACAATTCAATATGATTTAATGCTGAATAAATGTGAAAAGGATTTTAGTTTTATAACCTTCATCTAATGCTTATTTACTTAAAAGTGCATCCCAGGGGTTAAATTATTCTTTATTTATTTAAGACATTTTTATATCCTTTCCTATGTTAAAAACATCTGACTGCCTTATGACAGACAGAAACACAAACGATTGTAGTCACACAGTGCAATCAGATATATTTCTACTAAAAAAGAAACCATTGGTAAGGAAGTATTAAAATGACTGAAAGTAACTTTAAATAGGATTTCCTAGAGAATGAGTCCCATAAAATTTACTGTGTTTTAAACAGTTTAAAATCATGTTGAATAGCTTAAGGTCATACAAGTTCAAGGCTTTATCACACAGAGAATAAGATTTGTTTTGCTATATTTCGTTTATAGTTCTCCTTAACTATTATTGTGCAATCTTATCCATGCCCACCCAGAAATAACTCATTGGATTAAAGGAACTTCCATTCCAGAAATGGAGCAGGAAGTAGGAAATTATCTAGCATAATTAATATTTTCCCTAATCTTTCGATTATATTAACTTGTCTGTACAGTATTTTATTCCTGAGTCTTTCGTCAATAAAATAATCAAAGAAACAGAGAAAACCTATTATTCAATATCTGGCAATACTGAATATACATTTACACATACTATATAAAAGCAGTGTCAAATTGTTTTAGATGCTTTTGTCATTTACCTGGTGGGCAGTTGCATTCTGAAGAAGCTTCTCTTACTGTTCTGATTTTTGCCATATGTTCATAGGTCTTCTGTAGGGAAGAAAAAGAACATTTGAAAAACAGTCCTTTGCAGCAAAAGCTGAATAAAAGAACTAGTGTCAAATGTGTTCTACAGTATTTCTAAAGATTAAATATACAATAAATTGATATCTATTAGCCCAGTCTCTGTACATTTATCAATTGATCACTTGTTCATTTAATCATAACCACAGCTTAAATCAGAAGTAAATCAAGCATATATCTCCAGAAGTCCCACTCTCTCATCTGTAATGATTGGCTATCCTGGCAGAGGATATGATGAGCAATAGAGTTTAACCACTTCTGGAGTGATACCTATTGTTGCTCCTGATTTAAATATCACACATAAGAAAATTAAGGTTTTCCTTCCACTGTTCTTCACCAAGAGGTGGTTTATCTCTTACGCGTGAAAACAATTGCTTATCTTTCCCCACAGTATCTATGCAGATATAGAGAATTTTGTTTGGGTAAATATCTGAAAAATAGAGATTAAAGGGGAAGGAATATTTTGTATATGCAGGTCAACTGCTTCCAGGTTTATAGAAATAGCTCCTGCCATTTGAATTCAAATTGCTGCAGCCAAGCATTCTCCTGGACCGGCCCTGGCTGCCCATTGAAACTTAAATATCTACTTTACAAACACACGTCTGTGTGGCTCTCTTGTCAACCATAATGCTAACCAACTAACTCTCATGTCAGAGATGAGCCCGGGGGAGGGGTCAGCCTGATCAACTCCTACACATCATAAGAAAACAAAATGCAGTTGGAAGAATGTCATCCTGTAACATGTAATGTGGAGACCCGCTAATATTACCGCTGTCTCTTTTTTCAAGCTATTCCTGGAATGCAACAAATGCCCCATATTGCCTCTAGTTCATAGCAGTCCACTGAGCGCTATAATGACCCTTGTTTTAAAGAATTTTGTTCGGGCAACTGATAGCTACCCCTTGTTTATTTAGTTTATTCAACCGAGCACAATTCCCACGTCCAGACTCCAGGCAGCACACTTGCTTATAGATTCATGACCCTCTTTTTTGTCTAAATTTTTGTGGGAGTGATAGATAGTAATGATATCTTAAGGAAAAGTCCACATGAGCATAGGATACTCTTCATTATAACTGTTATTCTACAAAAGAATGATGCCAACAGAGAGAAGAATATTCTGGCATTCAAAAAAGATTGAGGTGCATTCTAACTTACATAAGTCCTCACATTAGTTAATATAGATAAAACCAGTGGAGGGTAGTGGTTAGAGTGCTGAATTAGGATTTGGAAAACACAGGTTTCAACCCTCAGTTAGCCATGACATCCATGGGTCACATGGGGACAATACTGAATGCCAGATAGGAAGATACTGGGGTATTATACATACAATACTGTCTTTGTGCAGAAAAGGGGAGAAGTAAATGCAGCCCATACTATTACAAAGTGAATAAATTAGTTTGTCTCCTTATCTCTTCAATCAATTTTCCTAACAAAAGCATTTTGCTCTTCTACTTTCCCCCCAACATACTAGCTCCCATCACCACCACCAAGATGCACAGCATCTCTCTATCTTACACGTTGCTTTTGGTTAAGACCAAGGCAGCAGAAGGGCAGCAGTTAACAATGTGTGGACCTCCAGATGTTGCTGCGCCGCAGCTTCCATCATCCCTCACAACTAGCGAGGCTACAGCTCCTTGGTGCCTGAAAGACTACCCATGCCCCGTTATTTTCCGAGAGGGGACCTAGCCCGCCCAGGTATCTCTGAGCTGACTGGCTGGCTAGCAGCCTCTTTTCCTCAGGACGGGCCAATCCCATCCTCCATTTTCCAGGCCACCCCACCTGAGCTAGAAGTTGCTCCACTTTCTCCTGCATCAGGGAATTCAGCTGGTCCAAAGAATAGCTGGGCAGCGACCGGTAGGACCCAGCAACAGCAGCAGCAGCAGCGCCCACGTCCCCTTGCGCTGCCTCAATGGCAAAGACCCTGGCCTGAAGGTCGTTGGTCTTCATCCCCAGGTAGACACAGGAAGCGACGGATCCCACCGAGAGAAGGAAGGCAGCCAGCAGCGAGTTGAAAGGCGGAGCAGACCTGAGGGAGCAGAAGCCTTGGCCGCCAAAGCAGCCGGCTTCCCCTTTGGCCTCGGGGTTTCTTTTCCCCACCATGCTTGGCTGGAAGAGGCAGCACAGGAATCCCCCTCTTCTTCTTCTTCTTCTTCCTCCTCCTCCTCCTTCTCAGTGGACGGCTGCTTTGCCCGAAGATCCCCGACACGCGCGCGCACAAAAAAACAACAGGAACCACAAGAAACGGGACAACAATTCAAACGGGTCCCTCCCAAGCCGAGAAAAGGCACTTTTCGATGCCAAAGAGCGGCGCGCTCGAGAGGATTTCCAAGGTAGCCTTCAAACTGCCCTCCCCAAAAAGGAGCGTGGGGATTATCACCACCACCCCGAAGAAGAAGCCGGGCAGCCTTCCTTCCCGCTCCGCCAGCCGCTGCCTTTGAGGGCACCCGCCGACCGGAGGCGCCTGGCCACCTCGTCAGGTGCTGCTTTCCAAGGCTCTTTTTTTTTTTTTTCCCCGACGGCGCCGACGGACTTGTTGCTTCTCCGGTTTCCCCGGCGCTTTTCTGCCGCCTGCAAAAGCCGGACAACTTCGGAGTTACTTCAGCATCCACCCCCCTCTCTTCATCCGAGTCGAGAGCGGGCGGGAGCAGCAGAAGCGTCGTCCCCGTCCCCCCCGCTTCGCCGCGGAGTCCCTTCGCAGCCCCCCGCCTGCCTGCCTGCGTGGGCGCCTCGAGGAGCGGCTGTCAGGCAAGCAGCAGCAGCAGCAGCAGCAGCAGCAGCAGCAGCAGCGTCTGCGAAGCCTCCCGCTCGGTTCTCTGGGCTGCACACCGCCTTCGAGCGCCGGCCAGAAGCTCGGGAGTCTCATTAGCATAATTTATTCACCTAGACCCAGGGGGAGGCCCGCCCCCCGCCCCTTCCCCTCCCCTCCCCTCCCCTCCTCCGCGCTCCTGACCCGCGAAGGCTTTTCAACATAATCCATGAGAAGCTGCGGCCACCAGTCTGGGCCGCCTGCCCACCCAGCCAGCGGTCCTCTCGGCGCTGCGCCACGCTCCTCTCCTGCCCGGACTCGGCGGCGTGGAGCCGCCTGTTCCTACAAGCAAGAGGGGACTGCGGAGGTGGGGGGGCCGGGGTCAGGTGTCCGAGCCCTGTCAGGGGGGACTCCCGCCGCTTTCCCTGGCGCAACGGGACTTGAACGGCGAGGCGAGAGAGACTTATTTATTTATTCATTCATTCATTCTTTCACTCACTCATTCATTTATTATTTATTTAATTTTATTTATTTATTTAATTTAATTTCATTTTATTTATTTCATTTTATTTATTTATTTAATTTTATTTATTTATTTATTTAGACTTGTCAAACGCTTACAAGAGAATAGGTATAAGTATATACACAGTTATGAATCCATGAAATGGATACAAATAAGAAACAATAGGACAGGGAGGCTAGGCACATTGGTGGGCTTATGCACGCCCCCTATAGGCCTCTTAGGAAAGGTCTGAGGTCAACAGTAGACAGTCTTAAGGTTAAAAGTTTTTGGGGTTTGGGGAAAAAAAAACCACAGAGTCGGGTAGAGTATTCCAGACATTGACCCCCCTCTGTTGCTGAAGTCGTATTTCCTGCAATCGAGTTTGGTGCCGTTTACCTTGAGTTTGTATCTATTGTGTTTTTATGGTTGAAGCTGAAGTATCCGATTTCTGACAGCAGAAAAACGGCTGTCCCGTAAACCAGGGGTCTCCAACCTTGGCAACTTTAAGCCTGGAGGACTACAACTTCCAGAATTCCCCAGCCAGCAAAGCTTTTGTAGTCCTCCAGGCTTAAAGTTGCCACGGTTGGAGACCCCTACCGTAGAAGACCAACTCCTGGATCACTTCCCATGGCTTTGCCCCATCGAGCTCAGCGGCTGTCTTTGCACATATCACCTCCCCCACCCCCAGGGTGACTCCTGTCAGTCGGCGTTTTGGAGCCCTCTGACACAGAGAACCACCAGACGGGGTTTTTTCATGGCACACGAGGCGGGCTAAGCTGCAGTCTTAGGTAGAAGTCCAGCTGATTGCAGACAGGGATGTATACGGTGAGATACCGCTTGCCACTTGCCTCTTGTTTCTCACCCCTTGCCTCTTCGTGGAGGATTAAACAGACCAGGCTGGGATTTCTTGGCAAAGAGAGTCCCCCAATTTCTCCTTGAAGAAGGGATGTGATCCTCCATGCTTAAAGGAGGCAGGAAACTTATATGTAGGAGGAGGAAAATGTAGACCATAAGGATAGGGATGGGGATAGATAGCAGATAGGACATAGACAGTAGGTGATTGGTAGATGATATAGAGACAGATATAGATATATAGATATGGTTGTGGGATATATATGGGACAGGAGTATATGTACTGTATATGTGCGTGTATAAGTAAGAAGATGGTGTTGGAAATTAAAACCCACCCCTCTCTTAGGAAAATGAAAATTTTTAGGATATATTAAAAAGGCAGAATATTTCTCCTAAAAGAGAAGTAGAAACTCAGAGGGACAGAAACTCAGCCCCCCTCCCCCACCTTTGCTAATAGGCCATTATTCTGGCCTGGGCCAGTCTATTTTACATAACAAAGATCTACCTCCTTCAGGCAGACCCATAATAGGAATCCCAAAGTCCTTTCATTACATCAACATCCAGCAAGGCTCAACCAAGCCTGAGACTCAGGACAGCCTACAGAGTTGTCCCTGCATGGCCCTATGGGAGTCTGACAACCAATCAGAATACAAGCTCAAATTCAAATCCAAACAGAAGGCATAAAACCAAGGGACTCTCAGCATTTCTTCCCTTTTCACTCAGGAGCTCCAAGCCATGTGGTCCTGTCCACCATTAATTATTTTACTTTATTGTCACTGCACCTTGTACAACGAAATCAAACACCATCTTCAGTGCACATCATGACCATGAAAATAAACACAAACACACGTCCTTCACACATTGAACCGGAAACCCCCGACACCAACACCACACCAAAGAGCTACTGCCCTGGGATAGAAGCTGTTTTTCAGCCTATTTCAGCCTGAACCATCTTTCTAAGCAGTCACCATGTTTCCAGTGTCTTTTTCCCCACTTGGAACTGACCCGGAAGGGTATTTCTTCCAACAATGGTATTGGGACTGTCTAGTGTGCCTTGATAGGTGATCTATCCTCAAAGTGTTTGAGTCCCTGCTACTTCCCTTGGACCTCTGTGTGGTTTTTGATGCCATCAACCATGAACCCTTCTGGACCATTTAGAAGGATTGGTCTTGGGGAACTTGTAATAGTTCCAGTAGGAACAGACCAGAAGACAGGACTAAAAGACTATTGATCCAACACCTATGCTGCTGATCTATAATGTTCCAGATATGTCTTGCTTAGCATCTACAGGAAATTGCAGGGAGGGGTTTAAAGGGTAGGTGCTGTCATTCTCAAGGAGGAAAATATAACCTTGAACTGCCTTATCTTAAAGGTAAGGAAAAGGGTAGATTCTGGAACTGAATAAGTCTGTTCCGGCTCGAGTCATACTCACACTCCCCCAAAAATCTCAGTTCACTCTTTGGGAATGCTTCTCGATGTTCAACTACATGTTTACAGTAGCCCTCAACTTAAAACCAGTCACTAAGCAACCATTCAAAGTTAGGCTGGACCCCTGTCCAAAAGCTGCTTCCAGCCCATTTTCAGAGTTATGATGGCAACCCCGCCCCCCCATTGATTGCATAATCAAATTTTAGCCACTTGGTGACCAGATTATCTTTACAGCTATTTATAACATCCTACAGTCACTTGACCCTGTTTTGCAATATTTTTGGCCACTTTCTGGCATTTACTTCTACTTTGCAGCAAAAAATTCCCATTTGAGAAAATGGATTTAATAATAGCAATAGTGCTTAGACTTATATACCGCTTCACAGTGCTTTACAGCCCTCTCTAAGCAGTTTACAGAGTCAGCATATTTCCCCCAACAATTTGGCTCCTCATTTTATACCGACCTCGGAAGGATGGAAGGATGGATCAACCTTGAGCCAGTGAGAATTGAACTGCTGAAGTGCTGACAGCCAGCAGAAGTAGTCTGCAATACTGCATTCTAACCATTGCACCAATCATGGTGTTTGTTTAATGACTGCCATGTTCATTTAGCAGCCGTGGCAAAAAATGTCAGAAATTGGGTCTAGTCATTGGATAATTCAACGTACAAATGCAATGAATTATGACTGTAATTCTGGGCTCAGTAATGGTCCTAGTTCAAAAGCTACATATACAAAAGTATACACTACTCTTGAAAACTGTCCAGAAATTGCAGTTGGTGCAAGATGTAGCTTTCAGTGTCAAAATGAACAAGAGAGGGATATAAATTTAACACAATAAAGACGAATGACCACTAGAAAGCAGCAATGAGTTTTCTGTGTCTCTTTCCTATAATCTAGATACAGATATTGTGATTCTTGTTGGCAAGTAGATGTGCCTGCAATAAACACAGGTAATTTTAAAAAGATGTAGGAGTTTGCAACCCCTCAAATTCCTAAGTGAGGTGGTCCTCACTCACTGACTGCAATTGTAACCAGTGACTCCGCTGCAGAGTCACATGGTCGTAAAATGAAGCATCACATTACTGTGCTGATTTACAACATCAGCTCTGGCTGCAATTGGGAAGCAAATCACCAAGGTTCATTAAGATTGATCTCACATAATCATAACTTGTGATTTCCTGCTGACTTCCCATTGATTTTCCTTGTTGGAAGCTGGCTGGGAAGGTCACAAATAATGATCATGTGACCACATGATGCTGCGACTATCATATGTGCATGCTAGTTGCCGAACACTCAAATTGTGATCATGTGACTGCAGGGATGTTGAAATAGCCACAAGTTAGCCCAATCATAACTTTGCAGAGTTTGCTGTGCAAGTGGTCAGCTAGTGAGAAACTACACCTGCATTCCTTTCTCAGGACTCTCAAACTAAGAGTAGTCCGTTTTTACCTTGCTGCTTTTCTAATTTTGTTCCCTCAACCTTCTCTACTGTGTCTGTCTCTTCATGAACCTTTGGGAGGTTGGAGTTAGACTGACAACGTCTGAAGATCAAGGTCACATACATGAATATCACAGGGAATGATCCAAAAGGTCAAGATACTGTATGGTCACAACCACGTGATCAAAGCCTCACCTTTTTGTGCTT